TCTCAGAACTTACCTCCAGTCTTAAACACAACATGATTAAACTTAAGAGTCCTCAAATACAAAGAAATGGTAAGTACAAGGGTGGTTGTCAGGGGTTGGGAGGAAGGAAGGCTGGGGGGTGTTTAAGGAGGACAGAGTTTCTGTTTGGGAACATAAAGAAGTCCTGGAGATGGATGGTGGTTAACAGCTGCACAAGACTGTGAACGCCACACAATGGTACACTTCATAGGGTCCACAATGCTAGGGGTGTGACTCTATCCCCAGCACCATGAATGAATGAATGGACACTTAAGAATCCAGTGTTGAGTTCTATGCCTACTAGAAAGGCTGAGAAGGTTCATTCAAGGACCCTGAGTTACCTCATTGGGAACAGTTGACACTGGGAGTTCATGAGATCTAGTCCAGATCTTTACTTGATGAAGAGTTTTCAGAGGGACACAGTACAATGATGGAGTACTTGTCTAACATGGATGACATGCTAGGGTCAATTTACAGTATCACAAAAAATTGAAGAAACAACAAAAAAGCAGTATCTCAATAAAATAGGCAAAGAATAGTCGATTCTTTTCAGCACCGGGGTTGAGCCTAGGACTTCACATACAAGGCAAGAGATCTAACATGAGTTACAACTCCAAGCCTCTTCTTACTTTTTTTTAATCTTGACATAGAGTCTCATCTTGTTGTCCAAGCAGGCCTTGAACGCACTCTGTATCCCAGGCTGTCCTTGAATTTGAGATCCTCCTGCCTCAGCGTTGCAAATTCCTAGGACTACAGACCTGCACCACCAGGCTAGGCTAAGAACAAGTCATTCTTCAAAATGTATCCCTGACTCCCTGATCCTCACCCCCATCCCGCTCCCACCGAAATTTCCTGCCATGTTGGAAAAGCTCATTCTGGGGCAAGAGCCATCACTGGACCGGATTTCAGGCTGCCACCCTCAGAGGATGACTGAATGCCCCACCCATCCTGATCCTTCACACACACTGCAGAAGGCATCTCCCTCAGGAAGCTTCGGCCTCCTCCGCCATCCTCAGTCCCACCAGGGTCTCGCCTCACTGCCCAGGGCTGTGTTTTCCTTAACAAGCCAGGAGGCTCAGCCAGGACAGGCTCCAGTGGCCCCATATGCTCAACAGGTGCTCGATAAAAAGGGTGGGGCTGAATGCGTCACATGCCTCTAACTTTTTCCGCCCCAAGGCAGACTTTAACTTGACTCATCATGACACCTAGTGGTGACTTCTCTCCTCTTCTCTCCAACAAGATCCATAAGATAAGCGCAGTTTCCAACTTGTAGCAAAGGCCTTCTGGGAACCTGCTGTGAGCCAGGGACCACTGGATGCCTTGGATGGCCCGTGCCTGACCTCTGTGGGTTTACCGGCCAGCGGCACTCACATCTCCTCAGAGGCAGCGCAGCACTGACCTTGCCCCGTGGCAGGAAGCAGCCCAGGAACCTGAGGCGCTCGGGTTGTGGAACTGGCATGGAGAAAGGTAGCTGAGCCATGGAAACTGTCTCTACTACATGGCGTTACCCCTCCATATCCTGCTTATGGTCCCCTTCGAAGATGACTTGGTCCCATGTTTCAAGGTGATATCCCAGTTTTACTCTCATCTTCAAATATTCCCAGGAAGGCCCTAAGCCAAGCCATGTTGGATTCCTTTATTTCTCCCCCTCCCCCTCCGCACAGGAGGAAGGTCAGGGAGCGAGATACACAAGGGAGGCCCTGTCCTGCCCTCAACCTTCTTTTCCTCCAGTGTCTGTTTCCTCCTTACCTCTTTCAGTAAAATTTAAAAACCAAATCTTAGTGAGATAACATTTGGGAAGCAAAATAGACCTGGGCTCCTCACAGTACGAGCAGGACCAAGCAAACGAAAACTCCAAACTGCAGAGAAAACCAGGTGATATTTTTACCTGAGCCTGTGGAAGTGCTTTGCAGAGGCCTCAGCTTCTAATGGAGTTCCTTCTCAAAAGCCCACTGTTGGCTGAACATGCATTTGCTGCATTTAACTTACATCACAGTGTGGCCCAGCCCGCCTTAAACACGCTAGGGCACTTGCATTGGCCTACAGTTGGGCAGCCTTCTAACCCAAAGCCCATTTTGTAACAGCATGGGGAGTATTTCCCCTAATTTAATGAATGCTGCACTGAACCAGAGAGTCAGGATGGGTCTATGGCATGGGAAGCTAAAGGAATGATTTTGTGCAATTGCAAAGTCTAAAAACCGGGGATCACGCATCAGAGGTCCAGTCTTACCAGGAGACATACGAGAAAATGGAGAAACATTTAACTCCGTATTACTTCCATGTGGTCAAAGTGAAATATAAGACAAAAAATAAATAAATAAACAAGCTGTGCTGGCTAATCCTGGTGGTCAACTTGATTGGATCTGAGATCGGCTAAGGCTTGCACCTGGCCAGGTTTATGGGGGCATTTCTTTCTAGAAGGATCAGTCAAAAAGGGAAGACGTCACCAGAGTGGGCGGCACCTTCTGGTCCAGATGTGAGTGGTCTGGGGGAAACCGGTGCTGCTTCCTCTGCCCGCCTTCGCTCCCTGCTTCGGAGAGCAGCCACCCTGCCGTTGCCGCTGCCCGCCTTTGCTCCTTGCTTCAGAGAGCATTCACTCTGCCTTTGCCGCTGCCCGCCTTCCCTCTTTGCTTTGCAGAGCATCCACCCTGCTGTTGCTGCTGCTGCTGTAATCCTTCGCAGACCACAAAACCGCGTTTCTTTGGCCTTCCGATGTGGAGTGAAAACCAGAGGCTCTCCAAGAATCATCTAGGCTTTCATTACCAGACTAGGACTGCCGGGGCATCCAGAATTATGAACTAAGTAGATACCAGATTCTCAGGCTCTCTAACATGCCATATGCCAAGGGCTAGTACCTTAATATGTAAATGACTATAAATTAATAAAAAAAAAAAGCAGGCCTCAATAAAATAGGTTTGAAAAAGATATAGTTCTTCAAAAGACATGCAAATTAGGGTTGGGTATAGCTAAATGGTAGAGCTTTTATATACACACATAAGACCCTGAGTTTTATACTCGGTACCTCACAAAAAAAGGAGACACAAATCACCAATTATATGACAATTTAAAATAAAATTATTTGGTATAAGTCAAGACATTGAAGATTTGCAATGTTTAATGTTGACTGAAGTATCTGTAGAGGTGTTAAAGTGGTGTGTTTTCAGAGAAAATGTTCATATAAGATGTAAAAACAGCATATGCATTCATCTTTTATCCTGTAAACTACTTCTAGGAATAAATTCTAAGAAAACAGTTACTGAATAAAGAGACAATCAGCAGAATGGGATAAAATCTAGGTGAATGTGATAGGATTAGTATCTAGACTATATAAAGAACCCAAAAACAAATAGTCAAAGGACTCAGTTGATAAATAGACTAATTAAATCAGTAAGCAGTTCCCAAAAGATGAAATACAAATGATCAATAAGTGTATTTAAAAAAAAAAAACCCTGGAGGTTCACTTGCCATCTGAAAAACACAAAACAGAATTATTTTAAGATTCCGTCTCACCCCAGTCAGAACGGCAGTCATTAACAAACAAGTAACCAGAAATGCTGGCGAAGATAGAGGAACCCTTATACACTTCTGATGGGAATGTAAACATGTCCTGCCACTATGGAAGCTAGTAGGCAGGTTTCTCAGAAAGCTACACAGACCCAAGATATGACCCAGTCATGCCTACCACTCCTAAATACTCACCGGAAGGCCTCCAGGTCACCACATCCCAGAGACACCTGCACACATGTTCATAATAGCCAAGTTATAGAACCCGCCTAGGTGACCAATCATAGGGGAATGGATTCAGGAAGTGTGATATATACACAAGAAGATCTGTTTCAGCTAGAAAGAATAACCGAGTTTTATTGTCTGTAGGAAAATAGACACTGCTAGAGACAATTGGATTAAGCAGAGGAAGCCGGTCTCGGTGATTCCGAGATCGTATACATTAATAGATGCATAAAATTCTGAGTGCCGTGAAAGGACGAGAAAATTGTCCAGGGATGAATCAACAGGGACTAACAGGAGGGGGAGAGTCAGGACAAGGGAGGGTAGGAAGTTTGTGTGGGTGTGCTCAACGTACAATATGTACTCCCGTAGAAAAACATCCTCATGTACTATGTTCAATCAAAAACAATAAAGCAACTAGGAGCACAAAGGTACAACAACATGCCATCAAAGCAAAAGCACGTATATGTGTGTGTACTTAAAATAATTTGCTTCCCATAGAGTACTAACTTTCATTTATGAAGCCAATAACTTGACTAAATACTGACCTAGCAGGTCATTGATCCTGTACTATCCTATCTCAGTTTCAGATGTGATAATGCAACGCTGTGTTTATTAACACAACCCTGCCCCGGAATACACTGATGAGCCTTATCAGCTGGGAAAATGGGAGAGTTGCCTGCAAATCCCATGCGGACTCCACACATTCACTGCACATTCACTGTTCAACCTGCCCACCAAGCTCTTCCTTCCCCCTCTGCTTGTCTTTTTTTAGCTCCCTGCCAGAATCCTAAGCCTGCTTGTCCTGAGCGACGCCCTGGGCATTCTTACTCTTTCTGAAGGCACCAACCCTGTCTCCACACAGCTGCTTGCAGACCCCCGCCCTGTCTCCACACAGCTGCTTGCAGACCTCCACCCCATCTCCACACAGCTGCTTGCAGACCCCCGCCCCCTCTTCACACAGCTACTTGCAGACCTCCACTGCTGGACCCTAATTCAAAGAGCATTATTTCCTCTCCATCTTCCCCAGTAGCTACCAAGATTTACAACTTGCTTGCCTTGTTTTTGTTTTTTCTCTCAAACTCTAATAAAATAGTTTTTAAGCTTAAAAGAGGGGGAGGGGGGCTGGTTTTATCTATGGCTGGATGTAGGATGTTTATTTCCTTCGTAGAGATTTTTAAATCTAGACAACAAGAATGCATTGTTTTAACATGTGAAAATGCAAATTAGCTTCGTAAGGACAGAATAAGCCCTACCTTGTCCGACTCAGTTTCGACGCCTGACAGCTGAGGAACATAGTCGGTGAATGAGGAACCATAGAGAAGTTGCATTCTGGGACTCCTAATTCCCTTTAGGGGAGCATGATCTTTACAAGGACCTCCTGTCAGGCCCAGGGCACGAGGCACCACGGCAACACTGCACACTCCAATGCTGATTCAGAAAGCACAGAGCCGTCAGCAAGTGGCCTTGCTGGGTTTCCTGGGTTTCCTGTGTCACGGGTTTTCCTGCCTAGAATAGTTCCCTCCCTGGGCTCCCATTTACAGTAAATGTAATTACATCTTAATGGCATCCATCTCGATCTGTCACTTTTTCCACGGCTCCTATTTTTAACCAGCACAACGGGAACATTTGTCCTCTCGTTCACTGATGAGTTTTCAGGCCACGGTTTGGCTTTTAAGATGACAGTGCCCTGAATCTTGTTGTGGATTCTTGAAATAACAGCCTGTAATTAAGACAATGGAGCACAAGCAACCTCATTCGGGTAACAACGGTGGCTCAGCACTGAGCACAGGACTCAGCAGCTGGGCTACAATGGAGAGCGTGCCCTGGTGTTTAGAAGCCATTAGTCAGGCTGCCCAGCTGAGACAGGAAGGCAGCCTGGGCTATTTCCTCCTCAGGACAAGCCCCGGAAGTAGATCCACCCCTTGCACAGTGGCATGGGACTGACGGGGCAGCTGAGCTCTCTACCAATCCAAGTGCAATGGAGAAGTGGGTTTGCTCTACCCCCTTGGACCTTGACTATCTTGAGAGTTTTAAGCTCTAGAATGTCACAGAGCCACACAACTTCCACTTGGGACACTCCCTTTTGAAGTCCATGACAAGCAAATCTGTCCAAGAATCCCCATCATTCATCCAGCCTTCTAACCACCTCAGCTGGGCTCAAGCATTGGAAAGATGATTCAGGCCTGGCCCTTGAGTCCCCAACACCCTCTTGTGTCTTTCCCTTACTGGGGTGCCTACACTGTAGAGCGTGGACAAGCCATACCCACAGCGTCTTGGTCCATGAAATTTGTAGAGATGATGGCAGCCATGCTATTCATAGAGTTCATGGGTTGTTGGGCAGCAATGCTAACCCGGTCTCCAGACTTGATGTATGACTTTACTAGTACTTTCCTGAATTAGAGACCCTGTTCTAAGCAAGATACAACATTAATTTGCAGTATAATGCTAACACATCTTTTTCTCACAGCCCCATGGAATCCACACAAAGATGTCTGGATTTTTACAGTAGAGTAAATCAGAACTCGGCCAAAGCATGTCACGGAGGTGGAAGCCAGTGACTGAGCCAGGCAGGAGAGAGCCTTTAAATTGAGGGCACAGATCTCCAGGGTACAGGCCTTAAATCCCTGGACAGTTCATTTGCTCAAACCTTTCTGCCCAAAGCTATTCATGGCCTCAGGGATCTACTCAGCACCCTTTGTTCTTTGTCTTGACTTAGTGGGAGGAGATCTGAGGCACTGGGGAAATCCACCTATTTTGCATACCTTAACATAAATCTCCCACGTGCCTGACTATTGTCTCCCCAGGAAAGGCCAACCTCATTATGCATCTTTCAGACCAGCCTCAGGAAGAATCCTGATTCTGACCTGATTTCTTGCAGACCCAGGGCAAGCAGGCACTAATTTACATCATGCAGCCAATGAATGATACAGCCTTCAGCTGTGAACCCCCTTGGCAGTCATTGTATTTGGGCACACATTTGAGCTCCCCTCTCCCCGCCCCCATGCTCCATATTCTTGTGTGCTTACTCAGCAGGCCTGCTGTCTCCAAAAGAGGACACTGCGAGAGAGTGGCCATCAAGGACCTCCAGGAGCTCTTAGGAGCTGAATTTCTCTGCTTCCTTAAGCACCTGCACACCCACTGGCACATTCTGAACGACCAAGGATAAAGCTTGTAACCTTTAGTATAACCCCTTTTCCCTAACACTCTTCGGCTGCCTCGAGTTTTTTCCTAGAGTAGGTCCAACCCTGACAGGGGGTGCCATTAGATCAAGTTAAAAATCTCTTCCCCTCTAGGTATCAATCAGAAATCAATGACACCTTCCATCTGGCTGATCCTTTCCAAATGAAAGAAAGTCGGAACAGAAATGGCCTCTTTACACACCTCCAGTCCTGTTTGCATTCAGTCTCTCATGTTCCCTCCTCTCACTTTCTTTCTTCTCCTCTCCCTCCCCTCCCTTCTTCTTCTTCTTCTTCTTCTTCTTCTTCTTCTTCTTCTTCTTCTTCTTCTTCTTCTTCTTCTTCTTCTTCTTCTTCTTCTCTCTCTCTCTCTCTCTGTCTCTCTCTCTGTCTCTCTCTCTGTCTCTCTCTCTGTCTCTCTCTCTGTCTCTCTCTCTGTCTCTCTCTCTCTCTCTCTCTCTCTCTCTCTCTCTCTCTCTCTCCTCTTTCTCTTTTTCCTATCATGTTCCTGTGGGTCTAGGGTTAGGTTAGCAGCGGGTTATACAAGTATAGACAGGGCAAGTCCTAGGAGAACTGCATCTATTTGAAATAAGAGATTGTCTTAGCCGGGCGGCAGTGGCACACACCTTTAATCCTAGCACTTAGGAGGCAGAGCCAGGCAGATCTCTGTGAGTTCAAGGCCAGCCTGATCTACAGAGTGAGATCCAGGACAGGCACCAAAACTACACAGAGAAACCCTGTCTCGAAAAACCAATATTGTCTTAGGGTTTCTATTGCTCTGATGAAACACCATAACCAAAAAACAAGTTGGGTACGAAAAGGTTTATTTGACTTATATTTGCATATTGTTGTTCATCACTGAAGGAAGTCAGGACAGGAACTCAAACAGGGCAGGAACCTGGAGGCAGGAGCTGATGCAGAGGCCATGGATGGTTGCTGCTTACAGGCTTGCTCCTCATAGTTTGCTCAGCCTGCTTTCTTATAGAACCCAGGACCACCAGCTCAGAGATGTGATCATCTCTGGGTCCTCCCACATCAATCAATGATTAAGAAAATGCCCTACAGCCAGATTTTAATGAGGTGTTTTCTCAATTGAGATTCTCTCCTTTCAGATAACTCTAGCTTGTGTCAAGTTGACATAAAACTAGCCAGCACAGCTATATAGCTTCCATGCCATGGAAAGGACATCCCTACATGACTTAGAACTCATTTCAAAGGTATTCTCTCCCAACCCACTGGCACCGATTGCAATGTAAACATACATCCACCAACACTGTAAGTTCATTCTTCCAAGACTAGTCACCAGCAGGAACAGAGGCAGGACAGAGCTTGGGAGAAGGCTTGGGGGACGATAGGAAAAAAGGAACGAGAAGCTTTGAGGGCCGCTCCCCCACACTACAAAACGTCCCTTCTGCTTCGTGTTCTGTCCATTTCCTCTCTCAAGCCCGTTCTAATGCAATGAGAAACGGAGAATGTGCCTTGGACCCCAGTGGCCTTCATCCTGCTGTGTTGTGGATATCGCTCTATATAAACAAAACATTGATTGGCCAGTGACCAGGCAGGAAGTATAGGTGGGACAAGGACAGAGGAGAATTGAGGAAGGAGGAAGGAAAGAGGGGACCGCCTGGAGCCACCGCCAGGACAAGGAAGATGTAAAGTACCGGTAAGCCAAGAGCCACGTGGCAAAGTAAAGATTAATAGAAATGGGCTGAATATAAGAGTGAGAGCTAGACAATGATAGGCCTAAGCTAATGGCCAAGCAGTTTAAATAATGTAAGAGTCTGTGTGTTTATTTTATAAGTGGGCTCTGGGACTGGCGGGACTTGGCGGCGGGAGCTGGAGAAAAATTCTCCAACAACACTGCTGAGTGTGGAAACCATGTGCCTCTACTGAGGACCCGCATCTTGAGGCTGGAGAGATGGTTAAGAGAATCCACACCTTAAAATTCTCCAGAGATAACTGGAAGGCCCAGATGGCCCAACCGTGCTCCAACCTCCTGACTCCTATTGATACCATCCCAACCTTCAGAGGCTGAGCCTCCTCACACTGGTGAATGGCTGGGTAAAACTCAAGACAGTGTGATGCCGTAGTGGGTATGAGAAGTCAGTGAGGGAAAATGATAAAATAGCAATTTCATCGCTACAATCCAGGAAGAATTGTCCTGGAAGTGATGAAGTCAGGTGTGACAACTGAAAGGCTTCATGCTTTCTATGGAAAGGCTTCTTCTGGCTCAGACAACAGAAAGCAAAAAAAGGCCTAGAGAGATGAGTACTTCCTAACACACTAAGAAAAATATGGAAGAACACAGGAATAAGTACGTTATACGAGAAATACTGTGTGCAATGGCAGCCACATAAGACATAAGGAAAATGGCAGGAAGTTTCCTAAGTGAGAAAGTTAAAAGATGCCATTAAGAATTTATCCCCTTAAGTTTTACTGATGTACTTACAAGTTTCCAGGTCGTATGAGGCCCAACTGAGCATCAAAAGCAGTAGACCAGGAAGCTAAGCCCACATTGCAAATCTTTCCTGTGCTAACGTCTCGAAATGAAATAAAATAGGATGATGATGATGATGATGATGATGATGATGATGATGGTGGTAGTGGTGGTGGTGGTGGTAACAGCAAGACCACAGGCACCCACGAAACCTGCATCTTCACTTAATTCCCACAATGAAGACACAGGCTGGCTCCTCTGCGTAGACAGGAAACCGGGGCCCAGGAAAGTCATGGGCTCCCTAATAGCACTATGAGAGGCTCACAAGCTCTACGCGTGAGACAAAGATAGTCAAGGGGCCATGTATTTCAGGAAGGTTGGTGCCCTTCAAGTTCTCTCGGGTCTCAGCCTGACATATTCAACAAGATCCTCATTTGGCCACCCAATCAATTCTCAGGGAAGATCTGGACCCAACCAGCAGAGCTTCATACCCACTTATAAACCAGAGAGCCAATGTCCTGTTTCAGAAGGTCCTACATTTCCATCAGGTCAGCTCACAGTTCACTGTTTGTTTTGTTTTGTCTTGTCTTGTTTTGTTTTCACTGTGTAATTAAACTGAAAGAAATACCGACCCGTTTCTTGGGCTGGGATAGAGCTCAGCAGAAGGGCGCTGTCCTAGTGTGCACAGGGCCCTGAATTCAGCATCACACACTGGGGGGCCGGGGGGGGGGGGCGCGGGGTAAGTGCTGACAACAGTTACTTTTATTAAGTATTATAAGAGCCAAGCAACTTAATAAGTTTATGACCAAACATACTTAGCTATTTGAAAAAAGA